CTTTCCATTCGGCAGAAGGTCCTTCCTGTTCAGGTGGTGGTGTGTGACATCCTTGGTGAGGTAGGGAAGATTCGGGGTCTAGAGAAAGACAGGTTGCGGTGAAAGGCCTGGATAGAGGCGTGGAGGAACATCAGGCCTGTAGTTGATCTCTTGGTGAGGTTGCTTTCCTGTTTTTCCTCTTCCTTCACTCCCCTAGATTTTGGTTAGAAGTATTTTTGAAGAAAGGCTATGTGCACCTGAAGGTCTACGTTTCTTAGCTTTGGTTGTGTAGATATGTAGAAGTTTCTTTTGGGCCATAAAGGCCCTAGTACAGGGGTCTGCAACCTTTAAGACATAAAGAGCCACTTGGACCCGTTTCCGAGAGGGAAAAAAAGACTGGGAGCCGCAAAACCATTGCAACATTTAAAACAAATCCGACACTGCATATATTGCAAAAAGCGCTCTGGTCATGAAGGGGGTTTAAGGGCCCAGTAAGCAAAGGGTTAATCAGGGCCACAGTATATCATCATAATCACAATCATAGCCTTAGGTCAGTGGTGGGCAACCTTTTTTTTCAACTGAGCCAAATCTCGCCAAAACCACGATTAAAATTTATTTTGAGAGCCACATTTTTAAAACTGAAAATACATCCCCCATATAGTAATTCATCCCCCATAGTAATTCATCCCCCCTATAGTAATTCATCCCCCATATAGTAATTCATCCCCCATATAGTAATTCATCCCCCCTATAGTAATTCATCCCCCATATAGTAATTCATCCCCCCTATAGTAATTCATCCCCCCTATAGTAATTCATCCCCCCTATAGTAATTCATTCCCATATTGTGTCAATTCACTTACCTGTACTCCGCGCGTTTCTCTCGCCGTGTTCCCGCGCAGTTCTGGTCTTCAGGGCGGACTGTGAGAGGAGAGGAGTTCGTCACGCTTCCCCGCCTACATCCTGACAGCCAATGTTTGCCATGCTCCGCGGGCTGGATTATAAGGTCCGCCGGGCCGTAGTTTGCCCATTGCTAGGCTAGCTGCAGAGTCCTGACTTTTGGGGCGGCCGCCCGAGAGGAGGGAGGGGAGCGGGCGCCCGGCATACAGAAGAGCTGCATTAACCTCCCTGGTGGTATGATTCCTTCCGATTTTTTGTGCTGAAAGCGGTACCATTTTTTCGCATGGAAATAGTTTTTTATTGTAGGCTGTAATTTTTAGGAAAATTTCCCCACAAATCATTATCACTCAATTCTGCAAGTGGTTCTGATTTACTATCGCTGTTCTCTAGCCGGTCTAAAACCGCTTTTGACCTAAAGGGACGCTTTTTGGACGCCATGGACTTTTCTAAGTTTCCAGGCAGAAAGAACAGATAAAATGCAGGCAGGGCGCAGGACAAAGCACTAGGGACAATATGTATGTGAAATGGGATGAAACAGCAATGTTTTACTATTGAAAATTGAAAAAAAAAAAAAAGACATTTTTTTAAATTTTTTAAATTTCCCGCCGCCGGCGGGGCCCGCCCGTACGTCCCGACGTCACGGGGACCGGAACACAGAAGCCGGATGCCGGCATCGGCCGGAGGAGATGGCCGGGGACGCTGCAGGGGACACATCGCGGGAACGAAGGACAAGGTAAGTGCTGCAGGGACCCCCAGAGCAGCGCCACATGGTAAGCCTGAGTGTAGCTCGTGGTATAGAAATTCTACCACGAGCTACACTCGGGAAAACCGCCAGGGAGGTTAAAAGAGCCGCGGCTTGCCGACCACTGAGCTACGGCAACCCTATTGCCTGTCACCTGGTGGGCAGTGTGCTCCGGAGCCGCAGCAAAGGTGAAAAAGAGCCGCGGGTTGCCGACACCCGACCCTAGTATGTTCCTTTTTTTTCTTGGTTGTTATGTGTGTTCCTTTGACGGCTGATGGTGGCCATAGGGAGCATAACAAAAAATAGGTATATGTATGGGGCTGTAGAAGCCTCAGGTTTTTCTTAATTTTACTATTGTAGTATTTTGTTTTGATTTTTTGAAGCCAGGTCAGAAAGGCCTTATACACAAAAATTGCTGTTTCCAGTTATAGTGGCTATATAAAGGCCTAAGTTATTTTCATATCTTTAGTGGTGTAATTTTATTGTATGGAGATATAGATAGTTCTTTTTTTGTTTGTGTTCTGTCGTTTGATCACTGTATGAAGTTTTCTTATTTATTCTTTTGTATTTTTGTATAAAATGTAAGCTGGTTGCAAGATTTTATTTCAATAAAATATCTCCAGCTATCCTACAAGCCAGAACCCCGGTGTTAATCACTCTTCCACTGTCCACACCCCCCCACACTAGACACACCACAAATGGTAGCTTGCCACCACCCAACAGTTTATCCACAGAACGGTCTGCTGGGACACCACACACACAGATCTCTGTCTGGCAGACCTGTCACCTTTACAATCTGCACGCAACCTGCCAACATGCAGTGCAATTGCATACAGATTGGCAATGAACTTGACAGAGCATATAAAGGCACTAAATTACAATGCGATCTAATCTCTCTGGAGATATGAGCCCGCTTAAGTACCCAGAAGTCACTTATTAATTTTATGATTTAATATCCCAAAGTGGGCAGTGCATAAAATATGTACAAAGTATAAAAAGTTACAGAAAATACAAGAAATAGAAGAAGACACACAATTGACTATTCACTATAAAATAAAAGTGAATTAAAAACAGAAATAAAACTTTTACCAAGATTTATCCTGCGACTGGAGCAAGTCAGAGAAAGTCCGCGATCCATCAGTCAATAGGACGGGCTCCATACGAATCACCATGTATGGGAATATGGACGTAGGCTGGACATTAGTCTTGGCCAATCAACCATGGGGGGTGTTCCTGTACCAGCCAACAGGACGTTCTGGGTGCTGAAATGCCCAAAGTCGATTGGACCAGGAACAGTTTGACTCACCAAGTCAGGGATTGAATATCCGACACCAGCACATCAGTCCGGTTGCGACAGTACCAATCGCTGTTCAGCTGTCGCAATTTGGTGCCACATAACTATTTCCTGCATTTTTCTGGCATTCTACATAGGCCACAAATACAGTTTTTACATGCAGATGTAGCCTATAGAGTGTCCAATCAGAAGGACGTATTTTCATCTCTCTGCAACTAATATTTTAGCTTTTATGAGAGATGAAATATATTCCTTTGATCTGCTGATATAATTTGTAGCTCCCAGACAGATCGGAGCCCCCCTGGTCTCCTGCAGCCAAAACATCTGCGTTCCTCTTTTAAAGTTCAGGAAGGTGGCAAAGTCTGATTATTTATATATATATATATATATATATATATATATATATATATATATATATATATATATATATTGACAAATCTTATTGGCACCCAGGTGTCACTTCCAGCCTGGAAGCTGCTCTGTCTTTTCAGATGCTAATGGTTGAGCACATGTCTCTAAATACCTATGACTGAATATTTCTTTAATAACAAGGAATGAAACTAAATTTACAATTACTGTACATATTGCTACTGATCACATCTCAGTCCAATCACTTGAATCCCACATCTACGTTACATCGGCCGATAAACGTCTATGGCCTGTATTATTTATTAAAACTTGCAAAATCTGGTGCAGCTGTTCATAGAAACCAATCAGCTTCCAGGTTTTATTGCCAAAGCTTAACCACTTGCCTTCAAGAGGATTTACCCCCCCTTAATGACCAGGCCTCTTTTTGCTACTCGGCGCTGCACTAATTCAACTGATAATTGCGCAGTTATGCAATACTGTACCCAAACGAAATTTACATCCTTTTTTTTCACACAAATAGAGCTTTCTTTCAGTGGTATTTTATCACTTGTGCTATTTTATTTTTCGCGCTCTAAACAAAAAAAGACCAAACATTTTTCGGCTATAAAAAATATATAGTAAATTCAAAGTTAGTTATAAATGTAGGCCAAAATGTATTCTGCTACATGTTTTTGGTTAAAAAAAATCCCAATAAGAGTACATTGATATCTTTGTGTGGAAGTTATAGCATCTACAAACTATGTTATAGATAATAAAATTTACACAGCTTTTACTTTCTGACTGCCCATCACATTTCTTGAGGTGCTAAAATACCAGGATAGCACAAACACCCCAAAATGTCCCCTTTTTGGAAAGTAGATACCCTAAGCTATCTGCTGAGAGGCATATTGAGCCCATGGAAGATTTATTTTCCACAAGTTTCTGGAAAATGACAAAAAATTATTATTTTGTACACAAAGTTGTCATTTAAATTATATATTTATCACACAAGCCATGGGTATATGTGACATTACACCCCAAAATACATTCTGCTACTTCTACCGAGTATGTGGATACGACATGTGTGAGACTTTTTGGGAGGCTAGCCACACACAGGAGCCTGAAATCCAATGACCACTTTGAAAGCCTGAAGGTGCGTCACTTCCTCATTTCACTTCCTCACTACCTATCACAGTTTTGGAGGTCCTGAAATGCCAGGATAGAACCTCCCCCCCCAAATGAACCCTTTTTGGATAGTAGATACGCCAAGGAATTTAAAAAGAGACTTGGTGAGTATTTTGCAGATCTCATTTTTTCTCACAAGGTTTTGAAATATAAAAAAAGAAAAGGAAAAATATGTTTTTGGTTTTTTATTCTTCAATTTCTAAAAACTTGTGGCAACAAAGATCAGCAAAATACTCATCATGCTTATCAAATTCCTTGTGGGGTATACTTTCCAAAAAGTGGTCATTTGGGGGGGGCTTGATGCTATCCTGGCATTTCAGGGCCTCCAGAACTGTGATAGGTAGTCAGGAAATGAGGAAATAATAATAATAATAATAATAATAATAATAATGAGGAAATAAAGCTCTTTAACCGCCTCCCGCCCACCATATAGTAATATAATGCACGCAAGGTTGTTCTCTCATTCTCGGAGGATGTCATATGACTCCCTCCCATTCTAACCGCGCATGCGCGTCTCCCAGAGTGCGCAATGCGGCGATCGGCAGTGCGTTGTGTCCCTCGGACACAGTGGATCACCGATCCATGGATAGAGCCAGAGATGTCGGCTCGGTCATGTGATCAGTGGTGCCCAATCACAGCTGATCACATGTAAACAGGGAAATGATGATTATCGGCATTTCTCTCCCCACGAGCTGTCACGCTGATAGCTCGTGAGGAGAGGAGAGCCGGTAATCGGCATTCCTCGGAGGCGACATGTACACAGATCATCAGAGCACTGATGATCTGTGTAGCCCCAGCAGCGCCACCTGTCAGTGTTCATCAGTATCACATTTCAGTGCCACATCAATGCCACATATCAGTGCCCATCTGAGCTGCCTTTCAGTGTCACCCATCAGTGCCAGTCAGTGCCACCTATCAGTGGCGCCTATCAGTGCCAGTCAGTGCTGCCTATCAGTGTGCATCAGTGCTGCCTATCAGTGCCCGTCAGTGCTGCCTGTCAGTGCCGCCTATCAGTGCCATATATGAGTGCTGCCTTTCAGTGCCCATCAGTGATGCCTGTCAATGCCCATCAGTGCCACCTACCAGTGCCACCTCATCAGTGCCACCTATCAGTGTCCATCAGTGCAGCCTATCAGTTCCCATCACTGCAGACTCATTAGTGCACATCAGTGAAGGAGAAAAATCACTTATTTACAAAATTTTATAACAAAAACTAAGAAAAAACTTGCTTTTTTTTTTCTTAAATTTTCAGTGGTTTTTAGTTTGTTTAAGAAAAAAATAAAAAACCCAGAGGTGATTAAATACCACCAAAATAAAGCTCTATCTGTCACAAAAAAATTATAAAAATGTCATATGGGTACAGTGTTGCATGACCGTGCAATTGTCATTCGAAGTGCAGCAGCACTGAAAGCTGGAAATTGGCCTGGGCAGGAAGGGGGTATAAGTGCCCTGTAGGCTAGTGGTTAAAAGCCTGAAGATGCTTATTGGATTTTGGGGTCCTGTACTTGGCTAGACTGCCAAAACCTCTCTCACATGTGGTACCCCCATACTCGGGAGAAGTAGCAGAATGTATTATGTATTATGAGTAATTCCACATATACCCATGGTATGTGTGAGCAATAAATCATTTAAATAACAATTTTGTGTAAAAAACAAAAAAACAAAAAAAAAACATTTTTTGGGTGGTCATTTTCCAAAAACTTGTGGTAAAAAAATAAATTCTTCAATTGACTCAACATACCTCTCAGTAAATAGTTTGGGGTGTCTATTTTCCAAAAAGTGGTCGTTTTGGGGGTTGGGGGCATTTTATGCTCAGCATTAGAAGTTTATGCCACACATCACCACCTGAAGATCAAGCCTTTTCCGACACTTTGGCCCTGATTTACTAATGTGCCTAGGTGCATTTCCGTGGGCTAACGTCTACTTTTTAATAGCAACCGTCTAGTTTTAGACGGCAAAGACATTTACTACAAGTAGATGCAAAATCAAATTTACTAACCAGGCAAAATCGGTCTCAAAAAGCAGACTTGCTAAGAAGCACATCTAACACCACGAAAAATCACTGCAGAGACATGTTCATATTGAAATTTGCTTTCCCAAATATCAGGACTTCACTTTAAACAATATCTACACATTCAAAAAAATGTTAAAATGTGTAAAAAATAGTTTTTTAAAGGATATCATGACAGTGAAGAACTAGACACTTTTCCAGCATCTATGGACGGATATAGGTGCAGGTGCAGAACACATTTTAGCTGTCTGCCGTGGGTACTTTGTTTTTAGATACTGTTTAATAGTAAATCTCTGTGTGGAGTCCTCTGCAAGACAGCAATCGATCGCATCTACTGTGTTTACCAAAAAGCACTATTTGAAGCTAGGCATATCTTTATGTATTCTAATTTGATTTCCTTAGTTGTATTGATTCTGTTTTTGTTTCTTATCCTTTATAATTATTTCTGTAATGATTTTACATATTTTGAAGGTCTAGGTAATATAATATAATGTCACATGGGGCGGGGTCACTCGGATGATGTCCCTGGGTGGCCCCACCCCTTACATATTTAAGAACGGTCACCCAAGCTCACAGCAGAAGGCTGGGCAGCCATCGTCGGGAATGGACGTTGGATCTACTTCGGGGGACATTATTTTAGATTTTTCTTTTATTAAAGGACTTGTCAAAGACCATGTCCTGTGTTTTTTTTACACTACACTTTTTTTTTTTTTTTTTTGTGAATTAGTAGCGGTACCATGTACCCCATACTCATTCACATAGGGGGGGCCAGAATCTGGGGGCCCCCTTGTTAAAGAGGGCTTCCAGATTCTGATAAGCCGGCAGACCCCCACAACCACCGGCCAGGGTTGTGGGGAAGAGGCCCCTTGTGGGGGTCTGCCGGCATGGGGACAAGGTGCTTTGGGGCAGAGGGGCTCCCCCTGCTCCCCATGTTGAGGGAATGTGGCCTGGTATGGTTCAAGGGGGGGACACTCACTCGCCCCCCCCCCCCCTTTCCTGACCTGCTGGGCTGCGTGCACGGATAAGGGTCTGGTATGGATTGGGGGGGTTACCCCACGCCATTTTTTTTATTTTGCCGTGGGGTTACCCCTTAAGATCCATACCAGACTCGAAGGGCTTGGTATGGATGGGAGGGGGGACCCCACGCCTTTATTTTATTTATTATGGTGTTTTTTTTTTAAATGTAATTCTGGCTTTTTTTTTTCTTCACTACAGCTCAGAAATTCAAAATACAAACAAATATGGTGCAGCGCTCTAATAAATAAAATATAATAATATATAAATAACTAAATTAGTGAACCAATCCCCAGTGGGATAAGTAAGTGAATAAATGGTGAATAAATAAATGGTCTATAACCGACCTAATGTGATCCAATATCGCAAAAACAATGCTGGATAACCAGATCACTACAGTGAATAACTCAATGCCATATATCAATAAAAAGTGAAACACACACGTGATCCCAGCACTGGGGGGGCAAGTAACTGCAAATAGTGATAAAAGTGCTCAGTGTTGTAAAAACACTCAAAACCATATATGTATATGTAATAATGATAATAGTGACAAAATATTGATATATAGAACCCCTATAAATACCAATCTGAATCATATTACACAAAAACCATAAATAGTATTAATTCCAGTGGCAATATGGAAAAATAAATCCCCTATGAAAACATAAATGCAAATCCAATCAAAAAATATATGTGACACCAGTGTCCACAATAATGCAAAAAAAATGCAGGTGATCTTGTGCGTTGCTGCCTGTCAGGAATGGGCTCACCTGCTGTGTGGGCTGCAGTACCGATGCTTGCCAGCGCATGCTTTCAGCAGCCAGGATCTCACTCCTGCAATCAAGCCATCACCTGAGGCTGATTGCAGGAGGTGTATTTAAGCAGTACCAGGCCTGCAATCAGTGCCTTGGTGTTTTCCCATGAGCCCCTGTATCTGCATCCTGTTGTCTACCTCCCTGATTCCCCTGCTTGACTCTGATAGAACTCCGCCTGCACCGACCCAGGCTATTCCTGACCATTCTCCTGCCTGCTCCTTTTGTACCTTATCCGCCCGATTGATCCTGACCAGGCCTGCCAGACCATTCTACTTCTCCAGCTCTGTCTACGCCTGTGTTCCTGAGCATCTAATTATTCGTTGGAGGTTTGGTTTTTGGTTGCATGTGCGTTTCTGTATATTGGTGTAAGCTCTTAATAAATTATCTTGTTACATCATTCCTGCAGTCTGCTATTCCCTGTGTCAGTCCACACATCTCTGGTCATACCTGGATCTCTGACACTGCCTCTGGTGATGAATCCTCACACGGCTAAAATGGCTCCTCACCTCCTTACCGTTACCCTAAAAGGGCCTACGAGCCTTTCGGGTCACTCCTGGACCCTCCAAGACCGGATTCCTTCTAATGATATTCTCCAAACAATTTCACATCAGGAAAAAATGTAAGAACCTTCCAGGACAAGATCAGCCCGATATCCCCTCTGTATGGTTCTAATTGACAAGACCAGCTCCCACAGGATCCACAGTAAAGCGAGAACCCCAATAATGTGATACCGTTTTAATTATGCAGAGCAAATAAACATATCCAATGCACTCACATTTGTTTCCAGCTTTCAAACAGCATTAGAACCTCATGTATGGGTGTACTTGCATGGGTTCTGTGAGAGTACAAGGATGGCGTCCACGCCGGAAGTTTCGTCACGTCACCTACGTGTTGCGTCACGGCACACGTGACTTCATCAGGGTAACGCCATTGGTGGACCATACTTCCTTATATAGGGAAGCAACCTAGACCAATCAAATTCATGGGCGGACTTACGGCGGCCATTTTCCTATGGACCGCAATGATGATAATTCATTCCGCTGCATCAACTACTCTGCTCGCTTAATTTAACTATATATTTAATGAACGAGTATACTACATACTAATTAGAAAACCCCCCACATATTAACCACTTGTAAAAACTCCATAAAACGTCCTATAACCCCCTCTAAAAAACGGTGGCCATACTACTGGAGCCCACAAAGATGGCTAATAAGGACACACTTAATTAATACTATATATGGCATACTATAAACCCTTCTAAAACGCGGTGGCCATAAAATTGAAGCCCACAGGGATGGCTATAAAAACATATTTTATTAATACTACATTAAAAACCCCTCATAAGAAATAATGGCAATATTATTAACATACACAGAAATACTAATATAACACTAACTTAATTACTAAATTACTATAAATAATGACAATCCCATAAGAAATATATACAGTTCCAAGAAAAAGTATGTGAACCCCTTGGGATTACGTGGAGTTTTGCATGAATTGGGCATAAAATGTGCTCTGAACGTCATCTAAGTCACAACAATAGAAGAACACAGTCTGCTGAACATAATACTACACAAAGATTAGATGTTGCCATGGTTTAATTGCACATAACATGTAAACATTCACAGTGCAGGGAGGAAAAAGTATGTGAACCTTTGGACTTAATAACTGGTTGACCCTCCTTTGGCAGCAATAACCTCAACCAAACATTTCCTGTAGTTGCAGATCAGACCTGCACAACGATCTGGAGTAATTTTGGACCACTCCTCTTCACAAAACTGTTTCAGTGTAGCAATATTCTTGGGAAGTCTGGTGTGAATCACTCTCTTCAGGTCATGCCACAGCATTTCAATCAGGTTGAGGTCAGGACTCTGACTGGGCCACTCCAGAAGGCGTATTCTGTGCTGTTGCAGCCATTGTTTTGTTGAATGACTTGTATGCTTTGGGTCATTGTCCTGTTGCATCACCCATCCTCTGCGGAGCTTCAGTTGGCGGACAGATGGTCATACGTTTTCCTGCAAAATGTCTTGATAAACTCTGGAATTCATTTCCCATCAATGACAACAATCTGTCCAGGCCCTGAGGCAGCAAAAGAGCCCCAAACCATGATGCTCCCTCCGCCATGTTTCACAGTGGGGATGAGGTTTTGATGTTGGTGTGCTGTGCCTTTTTTTCTCCACACATAGTGTTGTGTGTTCTTCCCAAACAACTCAATCTTGGTTTCATCTGTCCACAGTATATTT